CCAGGAAGCCCAAAAGGGAACACTCGCCGCGCGCAGGCAGATGGGAACGGTGGTTCTTTCTACCCGGCCAGACACATCCGGCTCTATGAGCGCTAGGGGGAAATAGGGACTACAGTTAAGATGGCCGCCAAGGATTCCGCGCAAAGCAGTATGGGGAGTGTGGTTTTATTTCCCGGCTCAACGCTTTGAGTGCCTTAGTTGCTATGGCCAAAAGAGGTGTTTTGGACTACAGCTGGGATGGCAGGCGGCAGCTGGAGCGCCACTGACTCATGGGAAAGGTAGTTTTGCTTACCCGCCGTATTGCGTCTTGTTCCCAAAGCGAGGTATTTGGACTCCATTTACGATGGCCACTAAGCATCATGGGAATGTAGTTCTCTCCTCACGGCCTATTCCTCCATGCCTTTTTACTATTGGTTCCCAAAGCCTCAAGGAGAGCGCTTGGACTACAACTAATATGGCGGGCGAGGAGAGGGGAAAATTCAGTCGAATGGAATTTCGGGGAATGGTTTTAGCGCTTTCCAGGATCGCTGGTTTCTCACTCTTAATTGAAATCAATAATTAATTGTGGCTTATCTTCATTAACAATTTACACCGTACGCTAATCCACATGTGTAGAACCGCCCCTTTCTGATGATCTTGATTATGTCTGAGCATGTGCAGAGGTTTTTTTTTTTCCAAAGGGGATGAAATTTGTAATTTTCCTTAAAGAGGAAAGAATTTGCAAATGAACATGGACCAGTTGCCAAAGTTATATGTTTTTATTCCAAGTTATAGGCATAAAATTGCAAGCACAACAAATCATGGGGTGGGGAGAAGGAAACTTTTACTCGAGTTCAGAATAATAAAAGTTTAAGGGAAAAGAATGTTTTTTTAATACCGTTCCATCATTCCATGTTCTGCAAGAGAAAGCTCAGTTCCAACATGCTGAAAACTCAAATTTATAATGCCATTTTATTTGGACTATGTAAATAATCCATCTGAAATCATCAAAATTATCTATTTCAATGGCTTCAGATGAGATACAATGCGGTTCAGGAGCAATATTTCAAATGTTCTGAGATAAGCATTTCTATTATGTACGGATATTCTAATTGCAACTGAACAGCAACATCCCCAGAGGTAAAACCTGAATCTGGCAATTTAATCGTGCCTGTGGTTTGAATACTTTCAAATAAGAGTATTGTTTATTTATCTAAGAATCAGCTGGGAAGACAACATTATGAAATAACGAACCGCCTCAGTCTAACATGTTTGTGTAAACATCCGTGTGCATACGCGTGGATTTGCCGTAAAATGAAACCAGTACTGTAACTGAATATGCATAAAATGATCTCGGGATAAGAGATAACTATGCAAGGGTAGAGAATTTGTGAAGTACCCCCTTTAAGTAGAAATACAATTGAATATTTTGTGTGGATGTCTGTTTTACTATTATTAATTAATGCAATCACCTGTGTGGGCCTCCAGTACCTTTCCATTTTCTCCTTTGAATCTGATAGAAATAAACCTTAACTAAAGATTGCCTCCTAGCGGTGAAACCTGGTGACTTCCAACGTGAAATATTTTGAAAGAGCTGTTCGAACCAAGGTGCAAAATTGAAACACCTGTTTTGAATGTGGAACTGAACTGTTTTGACTTCAAAACATTTCTGGACTGTCGGGACCTGTAAGGACAGAACACCCAACAATGTCTTGCACAGCCCCACCGCCCCCTCTCAATACCGGCTGGTCCTGTAGCCTATATTTGTGTCCCTGCCCTTCCCATCTGATGTACAGTCTGAAAATATTTTTGGTGCTCTCTGAGCTTGGTTGTTTGCTTGCAGACGTTTCATTACCCAGCTAGGGAACATCATCACTGTTATCAGCAGCAAACCTTGCACTCGTATTGATGATGT